AGGATGTTGCTACATGACCATGGCAAAGGGAGGGGGGGGGGAGAGAAATCGGATCAGGAACCCAACCAACAATGTGAAAAGGAACGGGCGTCAATGGTTAGCTGTACAAACAGGTAGCCCACCAACGCACACGAACCAAGAGCCACTCATGCACGATCACGTCTTGCAAGCCTATGCCTCAGTCAACGAACTGCGACTCACCAAACTTTTCAGAACGGCAAAAACACAGAAACACCAAACCGAGGAATTACAAGCAATCCGCTTAGTGCGTACGTATAAGCCATCGTACCCTTCTTGCCTTAAGCCCAAACAAGCCGCTCAAGAGACTGATGCACCTTTATGAGCATCGAAGTCAATCCATCATCATGGGGGCCCAAAGCAAGCCGCTCAGGAAGGAGACTGATGCACCTTTATGAGCATCGAAGTCAATCCATCATCGCGGGGGCCCAAAGTAAGCTGCTCCGGAAAGAGACTGATGCACCTTTACGAGCATCGAAGTCAATCCATCATCGAAGGGGCCCAAAGCAAGCCGCTCAGGAAGGAGACTGATGCACCTTTATGAGCATCGAAGTCAATCCATCATCGCGGAGGCCCAAAGCAAAGCTGCTCCGGAAAGAGACTGATGCACCTTTATGAGCAAGGCACTAGGGTGGGGACCAACAATGGCGAATGTGAAAGCATGGTTGGTGGTTGGTGAAACATAAACAAGGCAAATCCCAACCAAGACATGGGCAGCCCAAACAATGCCAAGGCTTGGGCATGTGCAACTAGGCCAAAGCCAAGCAAGACACAGTAGATATGCTATACTTAGGCAAGGCAGCTTGTGCAACAAGACCAACTCCAGAGCATTACTTAGGCAGCCTAATCAAGGCCAAGAAAACATGGCATGTGTAAGTGAGTTCAAGGGGAAGGATGTTGCTACATGACCATGGCAAAGGCAAAGGCAAAGGCAAGGGGAAGGGGGGGGAGGGGAATCGGATCAGGAACCCAACCAACAATGTGAAAAGGAACGGGCGTCAATGGTTAGCTGTACAAACAGGTAGCCCACCAACGCACACGAACCAAGAGCCACTCATGCACGATCACGTCTTGCAAGCCTATGCCTCAGTCAACGAACTGCGACTCACCAAACTTTTCAGTAAGGCAAAAACACAGAAACACCAAACCGAGGAATTACAAGCAATCCGCTTAGTGCGTACGTATAAGCCATCGTACCCTTCTTGCCTTAAGCCCAAACAAGCCGCTCAAGAGACTGATGCACCTTTATGAGCATCGAAGTCAATCCATCATCGCGGGGGCCCAAAGTTAGCTGTGCTCCGGAAAGAGACTGATGCACCTTTACGAGCATCGAAGTCATTCCATCATCGCGGGGGCCCAAAGTAAGCTGCTCCGGAAAGAGACTGATGCACCTTTACGAGCATCGAAGTCAATCCATCATCGCAGGGGCCCAAAGCAAGCCGCTCAGGAAGGAGACTGATGCACCTTTATGAGCATCGAAGTCAATCCATCATCGCGAAGGCCCAAAGCAAGTTGCTCCGGAAAGAGACTGATGCACCTTTATGAGCATCGAAGTCAATCCATCATCGCGGAGGCCCCAAACATGCCGCTCAAGAGACTGATGCACCTTTATGAGCATCGAAGTCAATCCATCATCGCGGGGGCCCAAAGCAAGCTGCTCCGGAAAGAGACTG